TTTTTCTTTGATAGAAAGAACGTGCTTTGACGACTGTAACAGAAACGCTCATTGGTGAAAATCTACAAAAATAAATACTTAAATACTTAAAATACTATAAATTACTATAAAATACTTAAAATAATTTCAAATGTTTTTTTAGTTGGTAATTGTTTCAGCTATATATATATATATATATATATATATATACCATATATCTACTGTATATTGCTATGGAGGAAGAATTTGGATAAATGAAACAGCAGGAAGCTCTTACAATGCCTTTTAACTGGGTATGAGTTAAAAGAAAACACTTCACTTTCGCAATGACTGATTTTAAATTAAAATAAAATAAGTATTTTAAAGGTAAAAAAAATATCTGATAAAGAAGAAAATGTATTTATTGTTGTACAGGAGCAGTTATCAAAATTATCTATTTTGTACAGGAGCAGTTATCAAAATTATCATTTGCCTTCCCAACAAAAAGGTCTTCTATTGTTAGGTTTACACTAAACTCTTAAGTAGCTGCACCCATATTTAGTGGGCTACTTTCAGCATCAAAATCCTCCTAAGCAAAGCATTGTTTTCTGCAAGTTTATTCATGACAATGTCTATAGACATGAGAATTTCCTTCTCTGTGTTTATCAACATGAAGAGTTCCTGAGACAGTGAGCTTCGTAGCCTATTTTTCACCCTCAAACTCAAACCAGTGACGAGGTTCGTGACTGGTCAGGCACTGACTCCTCTGGAGTCAGATTTACAATTGTAAGAATCAAAACGAGCATCTTATTTCACTATTCATCCAACAGCATCACCTGGTAACGCCTCATATACCAACACAAACATATACACAGGAACATATTTGTCCTACAAAGACCGTTTCTTTTATACAAATGGATGGAGCACCCTTCTGGTGTCTAAGCAATTCAAATGTATTGTAAAAAAAAAAATTAAAGTATAGAGATGAGTGCAGTACAAATTTAATTTTGACCGTCAAACACGCCCTTGAGCTGAGGCAGAGTACTGCCTGCCTCCCCTGCTGCCTTTCTTAAAGACACTGTAGAGAGTCATGCTGTACAACTAATATTTCTGGAAAGTTCACATCGGCGATATGCTGAGGAACAGAAACGGGCGCACGCGTCATACAATGAGCTTAGCAGAACGTATATTTGTCATGAAAGGTTACTGTTCTAAAGGATACGATTTAGATTTCAACGACACCAGGATTTGAACACACGCTCACAGGGTCCTCAGTCTGCATATAGTTGTCTTGAAAGATTGATGTTGTTTAGCAGAACACGTACACTTCGATGTCGTCAAAGGCCAGGATTTTAATCCAAGTCTCATGTTCAACTGGTATTTTCAGATGTTTAGGGGGAAATTGCCTTTTTGTGGAAAATTAAAATTAAAAGCTGTTAGTTTTACCTTCATTCATTTAAAGAATTGGTAAAAGTTAAGCAGGCGATCTTCTTCTATGATTTACTTTTTTATTTTACAATATTTTTTTATTCTGTAAATCATTTTATAATTTTAATTTTTTGGTGCATTCCCTGTATCTATATATATTTACACACACACACATATAACAGATATATAATATATAACAGAAATGGCGTTATTTTACTTCCGAAATATTACTTAGTAAAGCATACAACTTTGTATCTCGCGTTATTCCTTCTATTGCTTTATAATATAACTTCACTTACATCCACTTATAACTTTAATTATGTAGTATATGTGTAAATAACGATATTATAAGTGCATATATATTCAAAATCTACGTTTGTGTCCATGCACAAGCTAATTGCTAAAACACGGCGATATATAGTTATATATATTATACTGGTTCTATAAAATGAAAACACATTTTTAATTAGACAAATAATAGAATATAATGAGAAAATAGGTCTGAATAAAGGGAATCATGGAGGTTAAAAATATTTTGTCAACTGTTAATTGTATTTTTCAGTAAAAATATATATTTAATTTAATTTATATATAGATAATTTCTGGAACATTTCCCATCAAGACATTCACATAATAATTTAACAGTTAGATGTTAGCCTCTATTCAGGTATTCATACAATAATCTAATGTGTTTTTACTACAACATATTACACATTGACATCTACAGACCAGTAAACCTGCTAGAATTAAAATTCCTTGTGTTGTTTTGCCTGTTTACTGTCCCTGATAATTTAAACAAATCCAAGGACAATATGTATTGGATTTTACTTTCTATATTTTGAATAGTTTTTTTTTTCTTTTTACCTTCTTCTAACAGTAAATACTGTAATGATCTATTACTCCATAACTCCAAACAACGAGTTGCTGCTTCGTTTCTTGGCCATTTTTTGTAACATTTTGCACAAATTTGATGCAATCAGTATTTGCAGCATAATACAGTATAAGAGTTGCTGGAATTTTCCTTTATCTGCACTGATAATAGTGTGCAGTGACTCTCTATACAATAACAAACTAATGAGCATGCGCTGTCACCTGGGTTGTAAGGGCGTGCAGGACGCTGATTGGATAACAAGGCGCTGCTGGCCCTTTAAAAGCGGAAGGACGTCGTAACACTTTCCGGTACGGTGATGGTTGCGAAGAGGACGTTTTTATTGAGGCGCAGAGAAAAAGGTATGCTATTATTACGACGGTATGTATTTCCATCTATCGTTCTCTTCTCTTCACTTCATGTAAAGGACAATTTTTCCACAGACCGTGTGGACTGTTTGTTTTAACCCGTCTCCACGCTGCTCAACCCCTCCG